TGTTAGATTAGAAGTTAATGTCTGGTAAAGTAGTTCTTTTTTTAGATTATAAGTAATGGATCATATGAAATGAGTGAATAAAACTGGGGAAAAGATTCGGATCTTATTGAATGTGTGGATAAAAATGATGTTTGACATGTTAGATCATGTTTGATCCTGACATGTCTAACCTTACAGGATTAAATTTCGACTTTTAACTTGGATCAATGCCTAGTCATTTGTAGTAGGGCATGTTTCTTGGAGGTCACTTGTGGAGATTTGGACATTTTTGATATTGGAAACAAAGTACGCGTTTCAATTGAAAGGTTGACAATTAACTTTTAATCTTTTAAAAGTTGAGGATCAACTTCTTAATGGAACAATAGGAAGGGACCAATGGTTCAATTTTCCCTGAAATAAATGGGGAATACCTTTGAGTTAAATAGTCCCAAATGAGAATTTATATTCCCCAAATCTGGGCCTCGTTTGTAACCCTTTTTGTCCATTGAGTGACCCTTGTGATCTTGGGCTTAGCAACCCATGAATTCGACCCTATAACCCAAACTCAAGAAATGGTCAAATTCTTCTAACCAAAGCAATCCCAATTCAGTGTGAACTAATTTATAGTAATTTTGAGATTGGTGAAATTTATTGCCCATGAAATTGTGCTCTTCAGTTATTCTATTTTGCTTCTCTCATTCACCCATTTCTGTGCAAATTTGTCTAATCCTATCAACCTCGTCTCCTCGTCCAAATTACTTTTAGATCCTCATCAAAACCTTATATCTACGTTGTATACTTGACTAACTAGACTGTATTAGATATTCATTTTTAATGATATGCTAAACATGTTATGATAAGTTGGAGTATGTATAAGATTACACTGAATAATTGATTAATTTTATCACGTCTCACATTTTTAATGTTGTGCAATTCAATGAACCAAACATGTTTAACGAGTCTAACTTAAAAGGTTGTTGTACAATTCCTTTGAAAGCAACTTCCCTAGAATACAGTGAGCTTCATTATCTTGCTTTGAAACTTAATGATGCTTAAAAGTTAAGCTACCATATATTAATTATTTTTTAGGTCGTGCCAATTAAATATCCGTAATATAAATCATTGTTAAGTGATAAAGTTTGAAAAAGTCTATTTTTATTATCATTATCGAAATAAAATATAAAAAATTTGTTCTTTATGGGATTGAAAGGTTAATAGTAACGGTGAAAGCGAGTGCTTTTTTTTTTCTTTCTTTCTTTTTTTTCTTTTTTAATTGAGCTCGTTATTCGACAATGAATTTGATCTTCACAAATGGAATTTGAATTTTGTGATTGATTTGTGAAATGAATACTATTCTAACGAGAGATTACATATTATAGAATTGAATTTCCATTTTTAACCCATGACACACGTGAACTTGAAACTTTCTTTATTATTCGAAATTTCTTCTTAATGGCTCCCTTCATGCCTTGTCTCACGGGAACCTACAAGTAGTCCTCTATTTCATTATATTTCATCTATATCCAATTCCAATCATTTTGTGCTAGACAAATTGTGGGAAATCCATGATTTAGATTAGAATATGTTTTCAATATATTGTATGTAGAGTAGACATGCAGAATTTAGGGCCTATTCGATGGTGATTTTGAGAATTGATTTTTTGACTGTTAGAGAGAAAAGTGAATCCTACATTTGAGTAAAGAAATAAAAAATGATAACTGGAATAGTGAAATAATGGTAAAAAAAATTGATTTTTTTGAGTGAAAAATTGCTATCAAATGTAGGTTTAATGGGAAATTTTGATATTATGCTTGTGGTGTGAAAGCAAGTAGCAAAAAATGGGAAAAGAAATTCGGGCTAGAATTGACAATATGATGTTGACGTGAATATTTTGTAGACAACTTATATTGGGCTTTTTTCATTGATAAACACTTCCTAAAAGTTAAATTTAAATATTTGATTGAATTCCCAAAGAATTACTCATTTATTCATCATTCATTTCTGTATATTTATAAACACATATGTTTATAAACATTTACCAAATATATATTGCAGACATAGATCTTGAACCTAAGCTATGAGCAAGAATTTACAGTATATAAAATCTAGATATGAAGTATAATAATTGGTTTAATGCAATTTCTCATAATGGAAATGCAGTTATGCTCAACAATAAGCTGTTTAAATTTATTTTTTTTATGAGCGAATTTAACTCAAATTTGACTTACCCTTTCTATGCAACCAAAGATGTAATCCAAGTGTTCAAGGCAACGTTTGTAGAGTTTTTTATTATTTTTTTAATTTATTATTATTATTATTATTATTATTATTATTATTATTATTATTTTTCAATTTCCATTACATTACATTTTAGTAAGTTGGTCTCAAATGGATTTTAATCAATGTGCTTCCAAGACTCACCAAATATTGATGACTAAGTTTTGACATAAAATACATAAAATAATTGAGCCAAAGCTCTTCTTTTGTCATTTTACAGCAATCAATATATTCAATTACATTAATTAATTTTTCATCTTCTCATTCACTAGTAGCTAATTTTGTAATCTAATTTGTCATACTATGATAAGCCCCCAAACATAATAGAGTGATTAGCACTTGAAAAATCAATACAATAAAAACCCAAATTATGACAATTATAAATGAACCATTATTCACCATTCGTCCCCGACCTATAGTTTTAGAGATGGTTTTGCCCCTGAACATATGGGTATCACGTCATCATTTAACGTAATACTTGATAAAAAAAAAATGATAAAATGTCCTATTTTTGCCAACGGGATAAACATTGAGAATTGAAAAGTATGATTTTAAAGGTTAGAGACACAAGTGCCAGATCGCTAGAATTAAACATACTATTTTCCCATAAAATAAACAATCATATTATGACAATTAACATGTGAAATTGACAAATACCTGAATTTTTGTACCATGTGAATGTGCAAGTGGTAGAAAATTGCTGTCGCCTAACAATCCAATCTTCCAATAATTTTCACTAATAATTTTAAAAATTCTGCCAAAAAACAGGTGATTTGGCCGAATCAAGCAAGAAACTAGGGGTCGATTTGTTAGGGAAATTGTCTATACTTCTGATCATAGCCACATGGGTTGTCATGTAGTAATTGACGGTTGAAGATTGAAACCCTAAACTCATCGACACATATGGCATAGCTGAAAATCAATAAATCACTTATTTTAAAAGTAACTTATGCTGGCTTTTTACTCTGTAGTAGAGACTTGGTATTGTTATTTGGAATATGCTACTTATATATAATGCGGTATTCATAACGATGTTCACCCTCCTCACATGATGGGGAACCCACTTCGACGGGATAAACATCGTTATAGACAATCTGATATACGTGTATCATAATCCCATTAGGTGTCATGTAGTCCATTTCTATAAGAGGAGACGTAAGTAACCTATTAGAAAAGGGTGATAAGTCCAACTTATAGGTGGGGGAAAAAAAAAAAGAAAGAAAAGGAAAATACAGAGGAGGAGAAGAAAGAAAAGTAACTTAAGAACAGCAAATATGCTCAAGAGGTCCATGGCACACCCTCTCAGAANGAAAATACAGAGGAGGAGAAGAAAGAAAAGTAACTTAAGAACAGCAAATATGCTCAAGAGGTCCATGGCACACCCTCTCAGAAGCAGATATATTCAGAACGAAATGAAACTTATAAGCTACTCAATTTTTACTGTTTCCAGATAAGTTTTTTTAAATGAAATCTGACCCTAAAAATTGTAAAACAATAAGAGAAACAGTAATAATGAACCGGCAAAAGAAACAGAAGTAAGATAGTACATTCAAAAGCAGCGAGGTGTGAACCGTCCAAACAAATTTCAGTAAGATCCCACACGGGATTGCTACAATTCTTGAATAATAGTCCCAACAAGAGGAAAAGCACCAGTAAACCGACGCAATTACATGTACTCATTTACCTTATTCAAGCCAGGTAGCGATATAACTTCCTATCTGTTTTGTCTCTCTCCAAGAATTCCCGTTCAATCAGAGATTCAATTCGTTTCTTTATCACGACTGGATTAGGCAAGAATCGTGCTTGAAGCTGTTTTGTGACCTCAGCAACAATATTATTGTGATCAAGAACCCTCCGTGACTTCATAATCCTCACTATCGCTGCCTCAATCTGAGGTTTCCTGTCTTCTTCCACCCTTTGCCGTGTCTCCTGCTTCTCTGGTTCAGACTCCTTCTGAGCAACTACAGTGCCTATTTTCACCCGGAACAATTTGGTTGTATACTTATCGTTGAAGAAGAAAGAATCATCATCAGCAATATTCTTGCTCATGGGCTCCTTCCTAAGAACATTTTTACCTTTAACACAAGCCAATGACTGCAAGCACCTCTTCAAATCTGATGGAGGAATCTCAGTGGCTTGTTCTATTTCCTTGTAACTCAGGCAATCGACGTTGTTGAACAGCATGAGGATACACATCTGATATGTGGAGACGGAAAGTTCCTTTGGGGCATTTCCAAATTTTGCACTCAAAACAGCAGTACCCATGTTTGTCTGCCAGGTCAGCCTCCTCCCAGTATGAGTTCCAAGATAGTACGCCCTGAACTTGTCACAAACCCCGAGGATTTCTGGAGGAAGATTGCAAGTAGAGCTGGACTGAGTAGGCCAAGATCCAGTAGTGAGGACCTGGACTGAAAGTACAGGGCCATCTGCTATCTCAGCACCCATGGCAGCATAGAAACCCTGCATCGTATCCTGAGAGGTCTTTATGTCGGTGAACATTCCTTCAAGTTTCGATGTAAACTGATAACCACATTCAGTTTTGAGCTTAATGATCAAACTTCTCTCTGCATCATCAGATGCAGTCTTCTGCGAAAGAAGCCTCTTCGCCAAATGCTGCTTCTAATACTTCTCGAAAACATCTTTTTCTTGGAGGTAGCGGAAAAGCATCATCACCTTATCCAATAGAACCTCTATGTCCTCCTCCTTGTCCTTTTTCAACCCATTCCGCAGCTTGTCATCCACAAACAAGGAAATGAATTCAGGAGATCGCAGATTCAGATTAATGAAATATTCAAATGAAGAGTTTAGAGCGTTCTGAAAAGTTTTGTCGTTATTAAATGCTAAACTGATGATCTTATCAAGTCTATCCCTTTTATCCAGCAGCTCCTGAACAAAATTTACTGGATCCTTTAACCTTTCTGGATCAGTAACTAAATCTTTCCCAGTTTCTCGAATATGAGAGGTCATGACGTCTTTAATTATCGTGAGTCCATTTGGAACTCTCAGAAACAAGCTGTACATTCTTCCCAAATCAACAAACTTTTCATCCACAATCATACTAATTAACCCTGAGTTATCCATATGAACTAATCTGTGAATGTGACGTTCAATCATTTCTTTCTCTACCACAATAGTTATTTTGGCTTCACTTTTGGCATCCAAATAATGTGATACTCTCTCAATCTCTTCATTTAGACGTTTCTCAGCTTTCTTCAGGTAATCAGCACAATCACAATTCTCGATATATTGCTGAGACTCTACACGATAGAAATCAACTGATACTTCAAGGAAAGGCTTTTCAAAGTTCTCTTCGTAAACTTTAGGGCCCAAATCCATTAGCATTTTTGTTGTATTCCTCATCAGACCCCTATTAATAACATCACCAGTCCTCTCTTGCTGCACAAGTTCAAGAAGTGTGTCCTGAAGCCTTGTCTGGATCTTGTTATAGTGGATAATGTTGTCCCTCCATAAATTCAATCCAAGCTCGTGAACTGGAGTTTTGTGAGTGCTCGGTATGAAAGTTCTGTCCATATACATTAGTATGTCACGAATCATTTGCAATGCCTTGTTATGCTCTGCCCATTTCCGGTTAAGCTCCTCCAGAAACATACTTCCCTGAGCAGCCTCTATGGATTTAGCTATTTCTTTTAAATGTGCTGTCATAGTTGACACAAGTCCTGAGTACAGCTTCTCTCCAAATTTGTGCAAGACCATATTATATGCATTCCTGAAGATGCCACATACCCAAAACATCATATGCTTAATGCTCACTAATGGAAAAAACAATTAATAATCCTAAAAAATAACGGTATTATGAAAATGAGCTAATATAGCTCCAATTCAGATTGCAGGTAGATAATTAAGAGAGAAGGAAGAGAATAACATATCAACGATATCCATAGAGTCGATGAAATTGTATGATGTAAAACAACGCAGGTGAAGATTGCGGACATTGCTTCAAGCAATATGTGGAGATTTGTCAAGTATATATAATATAATCTGAAATTGTGACATTAGATGTGTTGCAGCCAAGCATTCAAGCATTGCCGTTTAACATCCTAAATTATGAAAGAACACGATGTATAGGTTTCCTAGTTTGTTATATGGACACATGGTGGGTCTTAAAGTGCTTCAGATCAGATGCCCGCCACTCATACTTGTTCCCCTCAACCTCCAAGACGAAACTAACACAAGAAACTGTGTAAATGTTCATCTAGGACATTGAAGGATATCTTCAGTTATACAGCCCCTTTCCACCAGAAATGCCTACAAGGATATAGGCTGAAACAAACCATGTGACTCGATTAAAATTTGTCCTTTTAGTCCAACATAACAAGTAGAATCAACTCTAATATATAATAATATAACGCACTTGTCCCCTTGCTCCAATGAAACAATGGCTTCTATCCAGCACACGGCTTCTCGCTACAGTCTGCCCTAAACTCCCTCTTTGTCCCAAACATTAAACCTCCATAACTGCAGAATCCCATTTATCCACCGCCTTAAAAATAATATAATTTTTGCTGCCCCCGCGGAAAAGCCGTAGATTTAACAAAAGTGAAAAAATAATCGTAAATTGACACAATCTCGATTCAATAATTCTCAAAATGTTATTCATATTCAGTAAAGATATTCCACAACTTTATACCATAAAAAGAGGGGGAAACACTAAGAAGCAATGGAAATGTCAAAACAGTTTGGATACAGAATGAATGAAAAGGGAACCTGTACAGCTCCTCGAAGCTGAGGCCGCTAGCATTATGATTGTAAATCTCTTGAATCGCATGTTCCAGGATCTTCCAAGTCTTCTCAGCATATTTCGGGTCCACCACCACTCGATGCTTGAACGCCTCTATCTGAAAATTCTTTTTCTTCGCTCCGCTCATCCTTTTCTCTCAATTCCCAAAATCAGCCCACCACTGTATACAACTTCAAATTCGATTCCAATAATCGGATAGAAAAAATCCGATTAATATAGATTTAAGATCCGAATGTTTCCTATTAGGGCTTCGGAAAATGGAAGTTCAACTGTTCGAAATTGATTTTTCCATAATTAACCGCTATGGATTCAGCAAAAATTATTAGAGGTTTGAGATTAATTCAATCGATTTTGTGTGTGTGTGGTGCGTGAAAGCATCGCCAGATGAAATGGGGAAAAGGTATATATATAAATATGTTCTTAATATTTGCCCTTT